CGACGACGACGACAAACACGACGACAACGCCGACGACGACGCCGACTTCGACGACGACGACGGCGACGACGACAACGACGACGTCGACGACGACGATGAAGAAGACGTCGACGTCGACGACGACTACTTCGACGACGACTTCGACGACGACGACGACGATGACGACGACGACGACGACCTCGACGACGACGACGGCGACTTCGACGACGATGGCGTTGATGGCGACGACGAGGATGACGACGTCGACGACGGCGATGACGACGACCATGACGACCTCGACGACCACGACGACGACGATGATGCTGACGACGACTTCGACGACGGCGACGATGGCGACGACGATCTCGACCCATTCGACGACGGCGTCGGCGACGACGACGTTGACATCGACGACGCCGACGACGGCGGCGACGGCGACGACGACTTCGACGATAACGGCGCCGACGACGACATTGTCGACGACGACTATGGCGACGACGACGACGTCGACGACGACGACGACGATGCCGACGACGACGACTTCGACGATGACTTCGACGAAGAGGAAGACGACGACTTCGACGATGATTTCGACGACGACGACGCCGTCGACGACGCCGACGACGCCTTCGATGACGATCACCGCGATCATGGCGATGACGACGACGACTTCGGTGGCGACGATTTCGACCACGCTTTTGACCACGTCAACGTCGACGACGACGACGACGACGGCGACGAGGACGACCATGGCGACGATGACGACGATGACGGCGTCGACGACGATTCCGTCGACGACACTTGCAACGACAACGATGACGACGACGATGGTGACGATGACGACGAAGATAACGACGATGACGATGACGACGGCGATGTTGACTACGTCGACGAAGACGACGTCGTCGACTGCCACGATGACGACGATGACGACGACTGCGACTTTGTCGACGGTTTCGGCGACGACGACGACTTCGACGACTCCGACGACGATGACGCCGGCCACGACGACGCTGACGACGACGGCTTGCACGACAACATTGGCGAGGACGACGATGACGACGAAAACGACGACGTCGTCGACGACAACGATCACGACGACGACGACGATGGCGGCAACGGCGACGACGACGACTTTGGCGACAACGGCGACGACGACGGTGGCGGCATCGACGACGACGGCTTCGACGCCGTCGACGACATCGACGACATCGACGACAACAACGACGACGCCGACGTCTACGACGACCACGAATTCGACGACGACTACGGCGACGACGACGGCGACTTCGACTTTGACGTGGACGGCGATGATGATGATTTCGGCGACGACGATGTCGTTGACGAATTCGGCGACGACGGTGACAACGACGACGACGTCAACGATGATTTCGACGATGTCGACGAGCACGGCGGCGGCGTTGACGATGACTTGGGCGATGACGGCAACGACGACGGCGGCGACGACGATGACGATGACGACGTCGACGATAACGATGACGACGACGACTTCGACGACAATTTTGTCGACCAAGACGAGGACGACGCCGACTTCGACGACGACGACAATGACGACGACGACGTCGACGATGACGTCGACTTCAACAAGGACGGCGACGGCTACGACGACGACGATGACGTCGTTGGTGGCGACGCTGGCAACGAAGGCAACAAGTTTGATCACGACGGCGACAGCAAAGTCGACGACGATTACGACGGTGACGTTGACGACGACGACTTCGACGACGGCGACGATGACGACGACGACGACGGCGACGACTTCGATGACGACGTCGACGACGACGATGACGGCAGCGACGACGACGCCAACGACGACGACGGTTTTGACGACGACGATGACGACGATGTCGACGACGACGGAGACGACGACGCCAATGACGGCGCCGACGACGTCGACGACGATGAGGACGACGACGACGGCGACGACGACGACGACGACGACGACGGTGACGACGACTTGACGACGACGACGAGGACGACGACGACGACGACGACGGCGACAATGACCTCGCCGACGACGACAACAACGACGATGACGCCGAGGACGACCATGACAACGACTTCGACGACGACTACGACGACGACTTGGACGACCACGACGTCGACGACGACGACGACGTCGATGACGACGACGACGGCGACGACTTCGATGACGACGTCGACGACGGCGACGTCAACGGTGACGATGACGAGGACACGAACGATTACGACGACGACGATGCCGACGACGACGACAAAAGATGACGATGACTTGGACGATGACGACGACGACGGCACCGACGTCGACGACGATGACGACGGCAATGACGACGCCGACGAGCTCCCTGACGACTCAGACGGCGACGATGGCGAGGACGACGGCGACGACGACGATGACTTCGACAATGACGTCGTTGACGACGACGACGATGAAGTCGTCGTTGACGACGACGGCACCAGCGACGACGACGACGATGGCGAAGCCCACGACGACTTCGACGACGAGGTCGACGACTTCAACGGTGACGGCGACCACAATGACGGCGACGACTTCGATGACGACTTCGACGTCGGCGATGACGACGACGTCGACGACGATGCCGACCACGTCAACGACGACGACGACGTCGACGACGACGATGATGACGACTTGGACGACGACGACGACGACGACGGCGGCGGTGACGACGACGGCGACGACGTCGACGACGACGTCGACGACGGCGACGACGACTTGGACGACGCCGACGACGACGACGACGATGGCGACGACGACGACGATGACGAATTCCGACGACGGTGACGACGACGTTGTCGACGACGGCGACCACGACGACGAAGTCAACGACAACAACAACGCCAGCGACGACGACGACGATGACGACGACGACATCGACGACAACAACGACGACGACGGCGTTGACGACGACGACGTCGACGACGACGGCGGCGACGACAACAACGACGACGACGTCAACGGTAATGACGAAGACGACGATGATGACGACGACGACGGCGACAACAACGACGATAACGACGTCGACTACGTCGACGACAACGACGATGTCGACGAATTGGACGCCGATGACGACGCCGACGACAACGACGTTGACGATGACTGCGACGCTCACGAAGACGACGACGGCGACGACGACGTCGACGATGACGCCGACGACTTGGACAACGACGACAGCAACGGTGACGACGCCGATGACGACGACGACCACGAACTTGACGACGACTACGACGACGACGACGACGGCGGCTTCGACGATGACCATGACGACGATGAAGACGACGACGACAATGCCGACGACGAATTCGCCGACGACGACGATGCCGACGACTTCGACGATGACGACGACGATGACGGCGACGACGACGACGACAATGAGGACGACGTTGGCGATGTCGATGACGACGACTTCGACGACAACTTCGTTGACTACGACGTCGGCGAGGACAACGAATTCGTCGAGAATGACGACGACGTCGGCGACGGCAACAACGCCGACGACGACGACGACGACTACTATTTCGACGATTACCTCGACGCCGACAACGCCGACGACGACGAGGATTTCGTACCACGACGACGACGAAGGCGCCGACGACGACGACGATGACGTCGTCGACCACGACGACGACGATCACGACCACGACTTCGACAACGACTACGACGACGACGGCGACGACTTCGACGACGACGACGATGACGACGACGACATCGACGACGACGATGACGACGATGACGATCACGACGTCGACGACGACGACGACCTCAACGACGACGAAGACGACGTCGACGACGACTTGGACGACGACGATGACTTTGACGACGACGACGCCGACGATGACGACGACGGCGGCGACTTTCATGACGACATCGACGACATTGACTACGACCTTCTTCGAAGACGACGACGACAACTACGACGGCGACGACGGCTATGACGACGATTTCGTCGATAACGTCGCCGACAACGTCGACAACAATCACTCTGACGCAGACGACAACAACGACGGCGACGATCACGACGTCTTTGACGACGACAACAATGACAGCGACGACGCCGGCCACAACCACGTCGACGACGACGACGGCGACGAACGACGTCGACGACGTCGACGACGACGCCAACAACAACAACGACGACGACGTCAACGTCGACGACGACCACGATGACGACGACGTGGACGACGACGACGACGCCGACGACGACGACGATGACGTCGGCGACGAAGACGACGACGTCAACGACGACGACGTCGACGACGATGGTGACGACTCTGACCGTGACGACGATGACGACGACGACGACGACGACGACGACTTAGGCGACGACGACGACGACGACTGCGACGACGACTCTGACGACGACGACGACGACGCTACGATGACGACGCCGCCGATGATGATGACGACCACGAACCCGACGACGACTACGACGACGACGCTGACTACGTCGACGACGAGGAAAATGACGACGACGACGACGGGGACTGCGTCGACGACGACTTCGACGACGACGATGGCGACGACGACGACGACGTCGAGGGTGTTGGCCATGACGGCGACGACGTCGACGATGACGTCGATGACAACTCGGACTACGACGACGTCGATTACGACGGCAACTTCGACGACGACGACGATGACGACGACTTGGACGACAATGACGACGATGACGACGACGACGGGCGACTACGACGACGATGAGGACGAGGACGATGACGATGACGACGACGACGACGACGACGACGACTTCGACGACAACTTCGTCGACCACGACGACTTCAGCGTCGATGACGACGTCGACGACGACGATGACGACCACGACTTCGACGACGACGACGACGACGGTGAGGACGACGACGACGTAAACGACAGCGTCGACGACGAGTGCGACGACGACGACGACGTCAACGGCGACGACGACGACGGCGGCGGCGGTGGCTACGATGACGACTACGACGACGACGATGAACCCCGGCCCCGAGAGCGGCGGCGGCCCCAGCAGGTGGTGGCGCGGCCAGCCCTGGGCTTCGGGGCCGCTGACGGGGCGGCCGCCGCGGTCCAACCGCTGGGAGAGGCCCGGCGCGGCCGCGGGAAGCCCCGCGGCAGTGACAGCCCCGCGCTGCGCGCCCCGGGCGTCCCCTGGGCACGGCCGGTAGGAGGGCACGCGGACGTAGGCTGGATTTTTCTAGCTAGGACTTAGGCACAAAACAGGCTCCAGCCGGCTCGATTCGATCTGATATCGGCTCCAGCTGGCCCGATTCGAGTCGATTCCGATGTTCGGGCGATCCGATGTTGTGCATCCTGGCGCAGCCGATTCAGCGCCGATGTGGTCCAATTCGATGCACGTTCCGATCCGATTTCCCGATCCGATTTTGATTGTTCTTCTCAAGGTGGCAGACATGCTAAGAGCAAAACATTGCATGCACATAATTTCTCGGAGGTCCGCACGAATCTCTTGGATCGGAGCTGGCCCCCCCTGGCGTTGCCTCCGGCGGGCGCCGCCCCTGGCGCGCTCCGCGAGGTCCACGGGACCTCGTGTATCTGCGCGACTCCACGGGACTTCGTGTATCTGCTCGAACGTAAACCTCTGTCAATTGAGTCTTGGCCTGAGGTCGTTATTTTGTCTCAGTTGCAGTGTGGCCTCCTCGTGCATGCTCCGCCCTGGCGCTGCCATCCCAGCGCCCCGCGTCCCGGCAGGCAGGATTGCTTCGCCGAGGTGAAGGCATGCCGTCGCCGCTGCGCCCCACCCTGCGATCTTGTCGTGATTATTTGGCGTCGCGGCCACAGGGTGTGCGGCAGGAAGCCGAGCATTGGTTCCAGGCCTATCAGATAGAACCAGGTATGCAGAAGGCATGATACACCAGCTTATGCACCTTTCCCCTTGTGGGTTCGACTTTCCCCCGGCGAGCTGGGAATGTTCCCCGGCAGCGCCGGGGGAAGTCCCATTCCGTCGCCGCATCGTTTGAGAGAGTCATCGATCACGAATTGACAAGCGTTACGTTCGACCTCTCGCTTTCCCAGAAAGCATACAGGAAATCTGTGGATTTCTATGCGCCCCTGTGCGGTCGCGAGCGTCTGAATGCATGTGCGTCTGCATGCGTGTGTGCGTGTGCGTGCGCGCGTGTTTGTATGTGCGCGCGCGTGCGTGCGCGTGTGTGTGCGTGTACGTGACACGGGGACTGCCCTGCGGACTCAGTCGGCGCAGCGTAGAAAGAAACTGCGTGTACGCGTTCCATCATGCATTACTGGATGTGTTCGGCCTCCTCTTGAGATATCAAGGTAAGCCCTGGGGCCGTCCCTGCCACACACGCTTTGAGCGTAGGGATTCCATATTTTCGTTGGCTCATGCATCAGACTTTCTTGTGTGAGCGCCGCCCCGCAATCCGCACAACCTTTTCGGGACAAGCTTGCTTTACAAACTTGTACATTGTCGCCCACATAGTTCTATGAAGTGAAAGACGCGCACGTGTTCGCTTCGGAGTACGATCCGTTCAAAGGAAGAGCACGGCCTCTTCTATATCCACGGCTACGCAGCATTTCATATCCACGGCTACGTCACTTCTCACATATTCACGGCTCCGCCGAGCACCAACACCTCCACAGCTGCGCTGAGTATCATAGCCAGGGCTGGGCCGACTCTGCACTCTCTGGGGCAGGACCGCTTCCGAAGAGTTCAGTATCCCATTCACCGTGTATCCGTGTATGATGTCTGAACTTGCACGCGTGCGCGCGCGTCTGCGCGCGTGCGCGCGCGTCGACCCCACTGACGCGTATCGTCAGGCAGCCGTGAGCCGAGTCGTGGACAGGTGGCCGATGATATCCGCACCCAGACCCCACTCTCGGCACAACAGGTCGCCGGGGCCCTGGGAGTGGCATGGGGCATTTCTCATCCCCCCCCTCCTCCTTCGTGCCCTTGCTTCGTCGTCCCCCTGCGTTTCTGCGTTTCTCGCTCCGAGTAGCGTCTCACGTGCGCCCGGAGCGCGGGGCGCGCCACAGCAGCCCACGAGGGCCGTGCGGGCACTCAGGCGGCGGCCCCGGGAACCCGACCTCGAGGAAGAGAAGGAGGACCAGGGACCAATAAATGCTTCAGAGGAGGGGAGGAGGAGAGGCCAGGTTCAAAAAGGGAGCCCGCAAGGGCCCATGGTCGGGCCCAGCCGCCAGTTCCTTCGCAGCATACTGGCGCGGGGTCCTGTACCCCCCCCCGTCATCGGTTCCCTACCAGGGTCGGTGTTGGGCCCGGAGCACACCCTCCTGGAAGGCTTCGACCCAGAGGCACCAGCCCTCGGGAGAGGAGGCGATGGGAGCCAGGAGCGTAGCTCGGCCCCGCTCCGGCCACAGGAGGCCTACTCGCGCAGCCTCACGGGCGGCTTCGGGAACAGCTCCGGCGGGTACCACCCAGCGCTGAGGAGCTGCACGCCCCCGCGGGCGCAGGCCGAGCGCACGCGGGCAGCTGCCTGGTGCCGGGCGTGCCGTCGTGCGGTGGCACGTTCGACCTCGCGTCGGCAGACGGGCGTGCCCGCCGACCAGAGGAGCGAGACGCCATGAGAGGGACGGGAACTTTGGGACAGCGCGTCGCTCCGCCAGCTCCGGCCCACCACGCTGCGGCGCGACGCGCTATCCACTTTCCAATTCCCAGGCGTCGACATCCCGAGTTTGTAAGGCATAGCGTGTCGCTGGGGCCGCCGCAGTGACACGGTAAGAATCAGCTCACGACCGTCATGGTGCGTGCCAAGATTTCCAGACCTTCTTATTGTCCCCGCGCGGACTCAGGAGGTGAGGTGATGTCCGCCAAAGGCCCTGGACATCCTGGAGCGCATCGTGAGCAAGTCGCACAACGACATCATCATCATCATCATCATCATCATCATCATCATCATCATCATCATCATCATCATCATCATCATCATCATCATCATCATCATCATCATCTTTATCATTATCATTATCATTATCATTACCATTATCATCATCATCATCATCATCATCATCATCATCATCATCATCATCATCATCATCATCATCATCATCATCATCATCATCATCATCATCATCATCATCATTATCATAGCTGCTTTTGCTCAGGCACCTGCCTGGCCTGGCAGCTTCTAGGGAGCACCTGCTCCTCCTCCTCCTCCTCCCCCTCCCGCGCGGCGATGGTGGTGGCAGGGCGGCTCCAGTGGGTTCGGCGGCACATCCTCCAGGGGGTGTGCACCCACATCACGGTCGGCTCGGCCTCGGTGCAGGGGCGCTCCAAGGTCAAGATCATCCTGGACCCAGCGGGCCCTGCCATCAGCGACAACAATCGGGACGTGCTGCTGAGCATCCTCATCTGCGTCGAGGGCCTCCTGCGCACGCACGTGGCGGTCGACCGAGGGCATCGCCACTCCGACGGGCGCCAGGAGATCGGTTGATGGCTCTCTTCCCCAGCGGCCGCCCCCCCTCTTGGGCCAGATGATGACGACGATGACGGGGCTGGTGGCGATGACCCTGGTGGCGGAGGTGGGCATGGCCATCGCCGTCGCGCAGCGCGCAGAGCATGACCTACCTGACCCCTGGCATGGTCCTGGAGGTAGCGACCCATGGAGTGGAGGTTGTGCTGGTGCATGGCAACTCTATGGCACTGCGAAACGACCTCGTCGATGTGTAGATGGTGGCGACCCCCTCCCTTGCCTACCTGACGTTCCTCACTTTCCTGCGTTTGCTTGGAACCGAGATGCGCCCGAGTTCAAGATGCCGCCTGGCGGTGACGTGGACGTCATGTTACAGGAGTTTGACTATCATCATGGGAAGGCCGTTCCTGAAGCTGGTGTTCATAGTGCTGGCAGCGCTTCTGCTCATGGGGGCCTGGATTCTGAAGTACTTGGAGACGCGGATGGTCTTCGAGAGGGTACTGGTGCTCAACTTCGTGGCGGCCCTGATGCCGCAGTCCGTGCGGATGGCGTGCTGACGCCGAGCGAGACCCAGAGCGACATTGTAGATTTGATGATGTATGAGCATGGCGACATTCTTGATGCTCCTCAGGGCATGGCTAGTCTGACAGATCTTCCTGTCGACTCTGTTCCTCGTCCTGCTCCTGATCCTCCTCGTGGGCAGCCTGCTGAGGTCCCCGCTGTGGTGAATAGCCAGTTCGCTGAGCTACAGCACACCATTGAGCAGACAATGACGGAGTTGACGGCTCTTTTTGGGCGCTCGCGCTCGGTGGTTGATTCTGGTCCTCGCCCTCGGCCTCGCCCGACTTCGCTGGACCTTCCTGATTTCCGCGACGATGACGATGGGCACCTCTGGCTGAAGCACACACGGATCCCGATCGAGCGCTTTCGCGAGTGTCGGTCCCCGCTTCGTCGGCGGCGAGTGGACTTCGAAGTGTATTCGCCACGTGAGGCGGACCTGGATGAATGGGCGGAGTACCCTCATTGGCTGTGGCCGAGTGTTGCGGACGACAACCCGACGAACTCATACTGGAGCGTTGCTTCGCAGCGAGCCCGTGCCGTTGCTTGTCGCCAGGAGTTTGGTCCATCGGGAGCTCTATCCGCGGAGGAGGGCTAGTGTCTCTTATTCCCAGGGTGTGGCCTGGTCTGCCATTGCAGGCCCTTGGGCTTCGTCTCCGTGGGCAACTCGTTGTCGGTTGGCCTCCTGCTGTGCTTCGTGGGGGACACGCTGCGCTTCTCGTCCCAAGTATTCGCTGTTCTTCAACTTCGCGGCGGGATTGGCCCCCCCTAAAGGGCTACCGGTGCGAGGCGGTCGTCGGCCCCGCGGTGTTCGCCTCCCCCTCCTCCCTCTCCTCTGGCGGGCCCGAGGAATCGGCTTGGTGGCCCCTGGGGGAGGGGGAAAAAACATCATCATCATCATCATCATCATCATCATCATCATCATCATCATCATCAACATCATCATCATCATCATCGTCAGCATCATCGTCGTCATCATCATCATCGTCATCATCATCATCCTCGCCATCGTCGTCATCTTGGAGAGAGCGTGGTCCACCGCCGCTTTACTGTGGAAAATTGCCGCCCTTTTCCTCCGGAACCCGGGGCCCCCCCCCCCCTGCTGGACCCCCCCCCCCCCTCTCCCCCTTCTCCCGGACCCCCCCCCCCCTCCTAATCCCCCCCCCTCGAACTCGAAAACGGGGGGGGTCACTACCGGCTCGAACCCCCCCCCCCCCCCTCGAAAACCGGAGGGGGGGGTCACTACCGGTTCGAACCACTGAGCTGTCCCACTGTTCCCACCACTGTCCCCACTGTCCCCACCACTGTCCCCCTGTACCTCTGTACCTCTGTCCCATTGTCCCACCGCCGTCCTCGCCACCGCCTTCACCACTGTCCCCACCACCACTGTACCCTCCACTGTCCTACTGTTTCCACCACATTCCCACTGTCCCCACACCACTGTCCCCACCACCACCGTCCCCACCACTGTCCCACTGCCCCCACTGTTCCCACCATTGCCCCCACCATTGTCCCCGCCACCACCGTCCCCACCGCTGTCCCACTGTCCCCGCCACCGCCCCGCTGTCCCCTCACCGCTGTCCCCACCACCACCGCCCCCACCACTGCCCGCGCCCCCCCTCGGTTTTCGATGGGGGGGGGGAGGGGGGGGGGGGGGGGTCGAACCGGCAGTGGCCCCCCCCCGGTTTTCGAGTTCGAGGGGGGGGGGGGGTTCGAACCGGCAGTGACCCCCCCCCTTTTCATGATGAGTTGGGGGGGGGAGGGGTTCGAACCGGCAGTGACCCCCCCCCGGTTTTCCGGAAGAGGGGGGGGGGGAGGGGTTCGAACCCGTAGTACCCCCCCCCCGGTTTTCCGCCAGCAGCGGTAGAACACGCTCTTTCTCATCTTGGCATCATCATCATCCTTATCAGTATTATCATCATGATCAGTATCATCATCATCACCACCACCACCATCATCATCGTCATCATCATTATCATCCTCGTCGTCATCCTCATCCACATCATCATCGCCATCGTCTTCATCAACATCAGTAGCACCAACATCATCATGATCATCAGCATCATCATCATCAGTATCATCATCATCGCCATCAGCATCATCATCACCATTATCATCGCCTACTCATTATCCTCCTCCTTCGCCCCCTCAGAATCATCCTCATTACAATTATCACCATCACCATCCTCATCACCATCCTCATTCTCAGTATCGCCCTCCCTATCCTCATCATGCCTCTCATCCTCATCCTCATCCTCCTCATCATCACTGTCTCCATCCTGATCATCAGCATCATCAACACTCGCATCATCTCATCCTCATTAACAGCATCATCACTTCACCAACAGCATCATCAGCAGCATCATCACCATCACCATCGTCGTCAAACGACACACCATCGTCATCAGCGCCATCACTATCATCATCATCATCACCATCAATCAATCTCCACCGTCAACATCATCACCTTCGTGAGCATCACCGTCGCCATCATAGTCATCATCATCACCATCACCATCACCACCATCATCACCATCACCATCATATTCGCCTCCTCCTCTTCATCATCATCATCCTCATCCTCCTCCTCCCCTTCTTCCTCTCCATCACCATCATCATCATCATCACCATCAGCAGCATCCCCATCCTAAGTATCATACTGCGCCTGTTTCTCCTCCTGGTCCTCATCCTCATCATCATCACCGTCACATCGTAGACATGTTGTTCCAAGTTTCAAACACGTCCCTGGTGCTTCAAACTTGGACGCACCCGCAGCTCCACCTCACGCCTCGCTCACGCTCAGTTTCGCCGATGGCTCTCACTGGCGATGCATCTGGATTGGCACAGATCCTGGCCCGCTTCGACACCATGGACCAGCAGCTCCGTGAGATGAAGGATCTGACAAAACGCGTCGACGACAACGACCGGGGGATGGACAATTACGAGGAGAACACTAACCGCAGCTTCCCGGAGGCGAGTAAGAAGTTGGAGGAGATTCGCTCAGGAGTGCTTGCGGGCCAAGGAGGAGTTTTTGACGACGTTGGAGGCCAAGGTCCCCTCGCTGGCCTCACATGTGAGTACGCTGTCCCGCCCATCGTCTCTGTCGTCGATACGGTCTACAGGCTTTACGGCAGGCCCTCGGGCTGCCGCTCCTTGAGGGTCTGGGCAGCACGATGGATCGGGCATTTCAAGATGGTGAGCATCGCGTAGGTTGACCCGCGCTTCAGCAGAACGCATTCTCTCAGAATTTGCAGAGAGCAGCCGCTCCCAGTTCGGCAGAAGGCATACGTGCTCGGAGTGGTGTACAACCTAGCTCTGGCGGAGATGTAGCGCACTGGGAAATGGAATACTCAGAGCGTGAAGCTTGGCACTAGCCCTTTGCAGAACATCCCGTATCTTGTTGAGAGCGGGGGGCCCTACGAGCTCGTGGCGCTGAAGGGCGGCTCGAGCACGCACTT